GTGGGGAGTCCCGGTGGCGGTGGAAACCCACGGCCACGATGGCGCTGGAGGGGCCCTGGCCTCGGAAGGCACCAGCAAGTGTCTGTCCAGAGCGTGGGGTGCGGTGGGTGCTCAGCCTCTGGAGGGTGGTGAGGACACAGCAATGCCTGCAGACCCCAGGTGAGGGGCTCTGAAGATTGCGGTGCCGGGTGGGTCGATGGGGATGCCTGCGAGGGGGGCGTCTCGTCATCGCTGTGATGGCAGTGGCATGGGAGGAGGCAGAATTGTTCCCTGACCCCAGGGTCCCACCTGGTGTTTCAGCCTGGCTGGGTTTGTGCTGTATGCTCCCTGGCAGAGGAGGAGCAGATCCCATGCGTGGATTTGCAATGCCCATAATGGATTTTTGGGAGCGTGTGTCAACTCTTCCCCTGTCTCTCTTCATTGCTTCGCAGGAACCAGAGATGCCTGCAAAAACAAAGTCAAGTAGCTCCTCTTCCTCCACATCCTCCTCGTCCTCCTCGTCCGATGAAGAGGATGAAAGTGACCTGGAAGCAAAGAGAGGTCCCCGCAGCAGAGAGACTCACCCGGTACCGCAGAAGAAAGCTCAGATCCTGGTGGCGAAGCCCGAAATGAAAGACACTTCCAGGAAGAAGCGTGGGCGGAAACCTCTTCCCCCAGAGCAGAAAGCAGCTCGAAGGACGGTGAACCTGACAAAGGTGCTGAAAACGTCCCGGAAGGAGGTGGGCAGCAGCACCAAGCTGGTGGGGAAGCTGCAGCCCCAGCACAGCACGCAGGGCTCGGGCACGGCCGTGCCGAAGGACCCACCGGGCGCCTTGGCTGGGCTCAGCTCGGGGGGGTCATCCACAGAAAACCTGCCCAACATGATGAAGAGCGGCTCCACGAGCCCAACCCGGGCCATCAGCTGGCAGAGCTCCATCGTGCACTACATGAACAGGATGTCCCAAAGCCAGAACTCGGCAGAGACCTCGCCCCTGAGCAGGCTGGCACTGAAGTCCCAGGCATCCAGTAAGAGCGGCTTAGGGCTTGACTTAAAAATGAGGAACCAGAAAGGATCTGGGGAGCTTGGGCTGAGCATGCAGGGACCCAAGACTGCCAAGGCTCCTAGTGGTGGCGCCGGAGGGGACCAGAAATCGGGGTTTGCTGCGGGAAGCCAAATGCTGCACAACGGCAGCAAGATGCCG